CAGGGGCAATGAAATGTTAGCCTGATTCATCAGCTGGTTTCACTTCGTGGAAACTGTCTGATCTCGCAGCATTAGGATTCGTTCGCTCGACGATAGGCAGGTACCAAACATTCTTTCTGTTCCAGCTTTAAATCCTCCATCTCGGGAAGTGTTGCCAACCGAGAATGTCTGTCTTCGTCTACATCCATCTCGACTTCTTTGTTTACTGTTGTGCTGTACCACAAAAGGGACCCAGACAGGCGCTTGAGTTTGATGTCATGGCTTCACAACTCTTCGCTGATTGGCCGACATGGTCTACAACTTCCGGGGTTCTTGCAAACCGTCTAGTCACTAGTGTATTCCGATTCCTGACCTAGTCGCTGGAGAGAAATGAAATTGAGCAGAGGCACTAGGTGGCTAATCAAATGTACCTTAGCATTACTTAATCCTTATTTTCTGATCTATGTTATGTTGTTTCCTCATCAAAAACATTTTGTTTTGTTTCATTCACAGTTTTGTTTCATTCACACACAAACTCTGCATATTTAGGCTGAGTTCTTCTATCAAACTGAAAAACTGTGATGTTATGTAGTAATACAGGAGGTGCTCCACTCCATACACCTTCACTAGAATCATCCACAATCATAATTTTAGCACTAGAATTTAAATCTCTACTAAGCAAGCATGTTGAGCTTTGAAGATTTAGACAGACTAATAATAAAATGTAATTCAACTCAATGTGTGAGTGAAATAAAAAAAAAAAAAAAAAAAAAACTCCAGGTCTGTTTTTAAAGAGGTAACATCAGTCTAACATCAGTCTAACATGTCTTAAAGCTCATAACTCAAAAAAAAATAATTTTGCATATAGGACATTTAATTTTCATAAATTTTCAGAAATGTTACAGGTTTAGAAAAAGAAGAAACACGGTGAAGAGTATTTATCATATTAAAGCTATAAATAACTTATAGTAACCAAGCGTATATAAAACAGCAGTGGATTTGTGGTAAATATATTAAAAGAGAGTCAGTGCAATAAAGGTTTCTAAAAAGCCAAACCTATTTCGGTGTTGTCCCTAAGTGGCCTTAAAAAAACACATTCTGTACCTCCTCCGATTGACTCACACAGACCTGAGTCACTCCACTCCTTCACGTTCAAGAGCGCATGTTTGTGAATAATGTTTGATTTGAAGAGGTCATATAAATTCTCCTCTATGCAAATGAGCCCAACTCTCCGAGGAAATAATCACCTAAAATGGCAAAACACACAGGCACGCACATTACCACTGTGGCTTGATATTCCAAACATGAATAAATAATTAATACAATCTTGTTTTTTTAATTTCATTTCTGCAGCTAAACTAAATTCCGCCTCCTCCACTCTTTGAGGACGTCATCGGGTGACCCTCAGGAACAATTAGCACTAAAAGACAATGTTATATGTGGGCTATGGTGTAAAGTCAATGCCAAAATTTAATTCATATAAAAAGCAATGGCATTTTCTGTGAGCAGCTGTGAATATATAATAAATGACTATTCTTTCAGGTTCTGTGATGTTTGATGAGGCCATAATCAATCAAGTTACCATTACGTTCACAGATTTGATTTGTGAGCAAAACATGAAGCATACAGGCCCATACATTCTCCCACACAAGAGAATAGCCTTTTCTTGGGGAAACTATACAGTATTTCACAGCTACATTAATATTTCAGACCACTCTCTCGCCGTTTCACGTGAGTGCTTTGCCAGTTGAGGGCAGGAAGTCGTGTGAAGCCGGCAGCCATAAGTACGCTGTCATCACTCATTCAGGGTCAAGAGGCTCGTGACCCCAAAAGCCTATGGGGGCAAGGCCTGAAGTCACATGACCTACAACTAAGGGCCAAAGATGCCACAGTGGTCATGATGTAAAGCTGTACATTACTGCACATACGTGATTAGACACAGGTGGATGAGTGGGTGCCTTGTATGTTTGGTGGTTTGATCCCAGCTCCCTCCCTTCCGCACATATTTTAGTTGTCTTCACCCAGACACTTCACCCATTTTTGTATTTGTGGAAAGTGTGTGGGTGTGATTGGAGGTGGTCACAAATGTCAGTCATGTCTTAGCCCAGTCTGCAGCAAAACCAAAACCAAAAAAAAAAAATCGAATAAAGGCAACTGTAAAGCATCAAATAGAGAAAACAGTTGAGAAATGGCTAGTGTAAATTCAGCCTGGAAGATCTAACTTTGCTCCAGTCTACCTCACCGATTACTCCAGAGTTGACCTGCACCTCAGCCTTCATCAGTCACTCCTCCCCGCTACTTGCCACGCCTCCTCCTTGCGCCAGACTACCCCCATTGCAGGTGCACGGTCGCTTTGGATTCCCCTCTCATCGTCCCCTTCACTTGCCTCAGCCTCACCTCTACCACCTCCAGTGTCCAGGCCCGGGCGGAAGACATCTCCTAAACATCATAGAATCGGCCACACCCTTCATCACAATGTCTTCTGCATCTCAAGGGTCTGAGCACCAAAAATAGCCCATTGAATAAAGTATACCAAAACTTTCTCTTTATGTCTGAGTCTCTCCAGGTTGAAATGTAAAGCATATGCCTGTATAGAAGTTATTTTTTTGACCATAGCTGGAGAAAGAAATAATAATATTAGCTTTCATAATGTGTATGTGTGTGTGTATGCTTAACTATGACATTTACAGCAATATTCCAAGTTGTTGAAATATTGATCCAGTGCATTCAATAAACTGGGGACAAACATACAGTACATACAGTGGAGCATACTTAATAATTAAATGCTTTTAAAAATGTATAATATGTATATTTTTTGAAGATTAGATTTTCATGGCCGAAGTGAGAATTGCTTTATTCCATTATGCATGACTGTATTTGTGGCACATACATTGGAGGCTCTACGGATGTCACCATAAAGATCTATGGGGATTTATATGTACATATATATGTGTATGTTAAATTTTACATAAGCTCTATACATATGTATTTGTGTTTGGTATTTCTATGTGGTAGGTATTTGAGGGAAATGCAATGTTCTACAGAAGTGTGAAGCTGTTGTTTCACAGTAAAAAACAAGACACGATAGTAATATTTATTATCTGATATAATTTTCTATTTAACTGTAATAAAAGAAAAAATCTGACTTTCTTTAATTATCCCAGCAACTTTACTGCATTTATTCAATTACAAAAATGTGTACTGCAGTGTTACGGCCAGCAGGGTTGTATCTCCACAGATCTGATTTCACATGGTGGTGTTAACTGCATTAACTAGATAATTTTAATGCCATATTACAGAACATTCCAGGCAAAGCAATTCCCTTTATGTAGACAAGTAGTTGGCATTCCCTATACCAGTTAACCAAGTTACCCTGCACCTTTAAGAGCTCACAAATTTATCTGTGTTTCTCTATCACAACTAGACAGTCCCTGTTTTGACACTGACTATAATACAATATAATGCAACCTATGAGAAACCATCAGAAATAGCAATTAGCCTCAGCAGCAGCAGATATACATTATTACCCTGAGGTTTCAATGGGAGAACTCCTTTCACTTGTAATTCTTCTAACATGGCTCACCTCTCCTCGGCCCCGGAGACAGCGAGGGTGCGATGTGTGCGTCCGTGACAACCATCAGCGCTTCCAGATGGGTGAGATTACCTTTTCAGCACCATCCATCTATCTCCTTCTCCACTCTGAACCTGCTCCTGGTAATTGACTTCAGGGTAACAAGGCCTCTGTGTGCATGTGTGTGTCTTTGTGCGTCCATAAATGTGCGAGCGCTTTCTTTGATTAGATAGCGAGACGTACTCTGTATTCAGGCCTGGGTGCTGCTTGCTCCACTGGCATAGCTAATGAAGTGGCCCGGCCCGTGTTCGCTCTCTTGGCACTGCTGTGTGCCATTGTGTGAATGTGTGATCCATAGAGTCAAGCTGCAATTAAAAAGTCCCGTCAGAGCTGTCTGCCATAACAGAGGCCTGCACTGTCAGTATCGACCAGCTTCAACAAACTGGATATAGAGAGAGGGGGAGGGGAGTGGAGGGGAGGAGGGGCATCAGCCAGACAAAATGAAATATGAACAAGGGAGAGTGATGAGAATAGAAAGTAATAATCAAAGATAAAAGCAGAGAGACTGGTGTTGGTTTATGAATCAGATTTTAAGAGAGTTTTAGATTTTACACCAATTGTGGAATAGGGACATAAAAAGATGTCATGTTGATACTGTATATTATAGGGGAGTTTTACACACTGGTACTCACTAGCTTGAACTTAAACATTTGTATGTTGAGTTGAATATATATATATATATATATTTATTTCATATTTAGTTGACTTCCAACAATGTACTGTACGTGTTTTATTTAACAGGGATATAATAGATTTGTAATGTTCCACAAGGCGGCTTTAAACGTATCTGGCTTGCATTTATTAAATTACGGTAGATTTCATGGCTTGAAAATCCCTTGTAAAATGGATAGAGAATGATAATATGACTTTTAGAAATTCATGAGCTTTCATTATGATTTTCTCTATAAATAATGCAATGCAGACATACACAAAATTAAATCAGCTACAGTAAATTAGTTTTATTAAAACAAAAGTTTACAGTGGTGTCAATCATTTTTACAATAGAGTTTGATTACCCGGGATGAGTTATGTGTTAGTTTTAGTTTTTCCTCAAGTAATGCAGAAAAAAGGAAGCCACTATCTGTGTGAATGGCCATGTATGTTAGCTTTTTGGTCCCATTATATAATATACACTCTTTTGTATGACTAACAAAACGTCAAGTTTAGAAGCTTAATTAAAAGAATTAGCACAGCAGGCATCATTAGGGATTTAAACATACAAATATAACCATTAAAACTTGAATGTGTCTGAAGATTGAACTGCTCCAGTTGTATGAATAAATAAATGTCTTAGTCTTGATTCAAATCATTCAATACTTCATAGTCAAGGCTGAGGCAACACAAATTCAAAAGTCCCTGGTTAATGTTGCTCATTTAAATGTCCACTTGCCTGTTTCACAGCAGTATTCTGTACTTGAGCGCCCGTGGGACCCTGTTGATAACCAGACGTCCATCGTAGCTGAGTGAAGCGAAAAGCCAGGGGTCAGCTGAGGACCACTCTGCTGCATACACGCTGTCCTCATGCTCCTCGTATGTGGATACAACACTGTCCTTTAGGGGCTCTTTACCCCTGAAAACACACAACATTTCACTTCAGAAACATGCGTTCACTATGGACCAATGGATAATTATGGTCTGCCGTGTCAAGCAAAGCGCAGCTCGTACATTAAATCTGGGAACAGTGTCTTTTTGATTATTCTGAATTAATTAATTATAAATCAGAGAGGTAAAAGGGACAGAGTGAAGGACAGTGGCAAAGAATGTAGAAATGTAATCACCATTTCATTCACTGACTGTGAGAGTTTATAGTGATAAAATGAATTCCGTTCCAAGTTTCCATGGTAGTATAATGGCATTTACTTTATGTTAGTAGGTAGCTACGGAGGTGGTAAGTTACCTGCCTTAACCTTTGAGTGCATACACCAGGTCAATTGGCGTCACAGATTTAAATTGCTCTAGATAAGTCGAAGATATTCACTACATCTTGTTAAATATGAGATTCCTAACACCATTCACCTTGTAACTATTATAAATGGTTATATAAATATAGCCAGTTTGTGAGAGGCATGCCCTTTCACTGTACTACTACTCCATCTGCGTGCCGCGGACAGCCCACACACAATTACCTGTTGACGTCTAAGGGATATTTCCTCTGTTTATGCACAACTTTACACAGCTCTCACCAGACGCACAGCTGTCTCCCACGGCAACAGCATAAACTTCTTCTTTACTGCTTTTAATTCTGAATTATGATGGAGCATTACGGCCAGCCCTGAACTCCCAAATCCACTGCTCTAAGTCTTCCTGAGGGACAGCCCTGACACACAGATTGGAATTTATTCGACACATTAACCATATCTTTCAGACAATAGCTGCTCCCTGGTGCAGAGGCAGGAAATAAGAACAAATCTCTTCTTTTAATGCAATGTTGAAACGTTTGTGAAAGAATATTACATTACAGAAACATGAAATCGTAAGAGGTATAGGATATTTCAATAGTTCAAACTTTGGAACCACCAGATGATACCCAGAAGCAAAAATGATGCAGACACTTACCAATATAACCTAGACATAAAAGCACATGAGGACAGAAATGGGGGTGAAGAGTGAGGGGGAGACATACAGAAAATCCTTGGGGCCAGGAATGCCATGGCCATGATTCTAGAGCAGGGAAAGAAATATTTATTTTGATTAAATTTTGCACTGATGGAACTGTGAGGAGATGAAAAGGAGCCCATACCAGTCTCCCCAAAACCCACAGTAATTAAAGGCAATTTATTCATTCATTCAACTATCCTGGCAGACAGCTTTTTACCTGTTAAACATTAATAGATTCAGCCTTCTTGAACTACTAGAAAACTGCAGTAATCCACAATCTATTATATTAATGCTAGTGGTTATGGCTTCATATGTAATTCTTTGCTAAAACATACATAATCAGTCAGCAGGCTTCAAAATCTCAAAAATGTCTGATTTCATTAACCCAGCAAACTACAACAGTAAACACGTGAAGTTTGAAAATACTTCACGCTTCATGAGAGCAGAGCAAGCAGTGTCCAGACGCAGTGGAGTGGACCTGTAGCGTGCATACAAGTGGGGTCGATGGCTATGGTGGCGGGGTTAAAACCAAACCCGAGTGCTGTCATTAGAAAGGAGAGTTGATAATTGTGTTTGAGTGCGGGCCATTGAGCTGAGAGCCGGTCGTTACGGATGAGAGGGGGAACGGGACCAGGATGGAGGAGGACACAGGCGTAGTTTGGAAAGCACTACATGGCTACGGCATAGATGATATTCTGATAATTCGGGGAAAAAACACAGAACCGAGCAAAGTGAAAATATAGAGGGCTACTTGGGTTGTCTATCTGGTAGAATTCCTATACTTTGGGTATATACCTGCACACGTATAGACAACTTACCAAGTCATTCTTTTATATACAATATGTTAAATGTGTAAGATGTCTGGCTATATGGTCATGTTTCAAACTAAGATTTAAATGACAACACGAAGTTAGATAACAGTCACATTATTATTAAAGACCAGTAAAAATTTGCATAGTATTCACATCAATTAACAATTCAAAACAAAATGGTAATATCCTTTGAATGATCAGAAGAGTGTTAATCAGCTATTGATAAGCCCTAAATAAGCCCTAAAAATTTGTGATTAAATATATAAAACAAAATATAGCGATCAGCTGATAAGATCTGACAATATTTTAGGTAGATTTAGATTTTCTCTTCCAAATAGTGTAATTTAGAACTCACCCACAAACCTTTAAGAGATCTGTGTAGTCATGTTTTCAGCAGTTATTTCTTTGCATTAAACTGTTTAAATAAAGTTTTTTTATATTTATTTTTAGGCTACAGGTCACCCAAAACATCTCTAACTCTAACAAAATATGATATCTTTTTGAACGGAAAAGGTTCTCAAAATGTTGTATGTAATTGGGAGCTGAGATAGACCAGCGTTTTAAGTTCAACAGTTTTAATGCACAATATAGCTACTTTAAAATGTGTTTGTTGTTCTTACTTGTCGTCTTGGTGGTTGTCCTCTCCGTCACTGAGCTCCTCGTCATCCACCAGGTGTCCGAATGGCTCCGAGGAGATTGACACCATATTGGAGAGGATGAGCCGACTGTCACTGCTGGCTGTCAACACCAACTGGTCATGACTGTGGTTGTAGCGGACACTCCACACCCTGCAAAAACAATCACAAATATATTCTTGAAAAACTTGGAGTGGGCGATATTGATAAAAATGAATAACTTTTATTTATGTACTTTTATACTTTTGTATTCCACTGATAAGAATAATCAGCAATGTTTTGCATTGCTACAGAAATGTGTTGTGATGTGTCCTGCTTGTCTTAAGGATTGAGGCTTCGGTATCGCATAAGTGAATGGACCGTTAAAATGAAATGCAAAAGTCCACAAATATTTCACACAAGGGAATTTACCAATGTTTATGACAAGTACTGTGTAAGATTAGTGTTGTATGTTTAAAAAGTAGAATACTGAATGCACATCTTCAGGAGTAAAGTTCCTATATTGCAAACATTGACTCTTGTGAGCTTTAAGCCATGTTAGAATGTTGTTATCAGAAACACATCTGGAGTTGTGGTGTGCTTCATTCACACAGCCTTTTATTTTTAGTCTGTCTACCAGAGGTGGGACTTGCAAGTCGTGACTTGGACTTGAGTCAGACTTGAGTCACTATTTTAGGATTTGAGACTTGACTTTATAAAATGGAATAAGAATTGAGACTCGACTTGGATTTGAAGGTCATTGACTTGGGACTTGAGAAGACTTGAGAAGCATTTTTAAATCTTAATTCTTTCTATTCTGACTGTAATGATTCACTCATTCGTATATAAATATAGTATGATTTTTATGTACAATTTAGTTTAAAATATAAATTGCAAAGATCTAAGCTATATTTGGTAACTTGGTTTAAAGACTTGAAATGACTTGAATCTCAAAAGAGATGACTTGGACTTGACTTAGACTTATGGGCCAGTGACTTGAGACTCGACTTGGACTTGCCTGTATTTCACTTGGGACTTGACTCGGACTTGAGGTCAGAGACTTGAAAATTACTTGAGACTTGCAAAACAAAAAAACTTGGTTTCACCTCTGCTGTCTACATCTCCAAGTCTCAAAATGCTCTGTTCCACCTTGTGATGTCATGAAGCTGTAGTGTTAAATAAGTTAACAGCTACACTTTACCTTGTACATGTGTAAATGAAACTAAACGCAACTCTGGGTGTGTTTGTGAGGAAAAAACAACATTATAACATAGATCAGAAAACATTGGCATTTGAGAGAAGACTGAAATATGAACTGCTAAAGATTTCCATCATCTATAGAACTGTTTGATTTGATTGCCATAAATTGTGCTTACATTTTGTGTACCTTCAGAACAAGAATATGTTGACAATAAATCACCAACCTTGAACTGTATGCAGTATTGTTAACAGTTAACATTTTACAGCACAAAAATGATTGAATTTAAGACTGAGTTTGGCATAGCGGCTTATTCCTATCCATAGAGGCTGGAAGGCAGGCCACCCATGCTGAAACATACACAGAGCGATGCAGAGAAAGCCTATCTCCTGTTCACACACTCATGCCCACACAAGTCATGCAGAAAATGCCGCCTTCTTACAGTGGAATTCACAGCCAAATATGCCTATCTGGGTGTGTGTTCACGTGCCAATGATGGGGATTTGGGAGCGCGCAGACTACACCGAGGTTCAGTTCACATGAGTTGGTGATTGTTATCATAAAAACCCCACAGCCTGATTGTGTACCCTCTCCTCTCTCACCACACTGGCCTCCCTCCTGCATTTCTGTAGCAGGATTTTCCTATTCATCAGATCGCCAAAGCTGGGTATTTTTTAGCCTTTGTGTTTGAAGTGCTTTGAGGGGTGCCATTTTGAGTAGGGATGTCACAATAGTAAATATAGTGTTTTGATTACAGTGAGAAGAAACATCATGATTTTACTAATATATTTGCTTAAGCTATTAAAGGTCCTATATTACACAAAATTGACTCTTGTGAGCTTTAAGGCATGTTAGAATGCTGTTACCTCATCAAAATCATACCCAGAGATGTGTTTTGTTTCATTCACACGTTTGAGTAACCCTTTATTATTAGTCTGTCTGCATCTCCAAAGCTCAAAATGCTCTTTTCCACCTTGCTTGCCATGTTAACAGCTTCTTTTTACTTTTTTTGTTTAGCAGAGAAGAAGAACAGAGCAGTATTTTCTGTTTGAGTGAAGAACTAAGTCTAAATAAAACTAAATATGCAGGGTTTGTGTATTAAATGTGTAGATTAAACAAACCATAACGGTATGTTTTTGATGAGGAAACACAATTTAAAAAAACATAGATCAGAAAATAGCATTATATGGACCCTTTCATAAGTATTGATAACTTTCACATTGTCTAATTGATTATCATTACTCTAGTGCAGTGGTAGGGGTTGTGCTAACCTGATTCATCATCTGGTTTCACTTAGTGGAAACCCTCTGACCTTGCAGCATTAAAATTCATTTGCTTGACGGAAGGCTGGTACTTTGGCTGCTATTTGGTCATGACATATCTAATGCTCCACTAACAGGGCTAACTGGTATAATTAAGCTTTTCCCAAATCCCGTGGGAAGAAGGGCAATAACGTCTTTCCCATTGATAAAATTCGCCAAACATTCTCTTTGTTCTGGCTTTAAATCCTCGACCTCGGGAATCTTTGTCAGAACAGAATATATGGGTCTTCACTGATTGGCCGGTACCCGAACTCGCACTTCCGGGGTTTTTGCAAACCATCTAGTGTATTCTGATTCCTGACCTAGTCCCTGGAGAGAAATTAAATTGAGTGGAGGCACTAGGTGGGGCCAGCCTGTCTAGGGTTGTGCAGCACTGAGTTGTGTGATTATTTAAGATAATTTAAAATGAAAAACAGTACATGTGAGCAAAATAACACGACTACTTGATTTTACATGTTTTGCCACTTGAAATTACTGCCAGTGCCAGTTTCATTTTGCAGTGGGGGTCCTGGGTTTGTTGCTTGATTACTCAGTTTGGGAACCCCTGCTGTAGTATGTGACAAGCTTCTGAATGATAAAGTTAAGTTACTGACCAGAAAAAGGCACTTCAGAGTTTAGTTCTAAATATTGACCTGAATAATCACAATTAACAATCACTCATTTTGAAAAAGGGGCTAAAGGGGCTTTGACCAATGTATTTCTATAATTTTGAGACTTAGAGATGTAGACAGACTAAAAATAAAAGGCTGTGTGAATGAACCACAACACAACTCCAGGTTACATCCCCTCATCACCACATGTACAATCACTAAAGGTGGGAGATATGCATAAGATAAAATCAAACTTGTCATTTTGAAAGTGTGCAAAATGAACACATCTGCTATATAGTCGGTAATAAGAAAACTCAAAAAGCTGCAAAAGGAGCCATTAAAAATAAAAACCATGAAGAAAGATAATAACAAAACCTTGTGGGATCTTCCAAACAAAGGTAAGGTGATGTTTTTGTATTTTTCTGTTGAATTTTATAGTCCAGTCACTTTTTGTGCAATGAACCTTGACTAAGACATTTACAGGTGTTTTAGCACATTTCTGATAGATTGCATGAATATAATATGCTTGTCGGAAAAATGCCCCGAAAAAACTGAGATACCCATTTTTGTCAATATCTTCCAACCTTGACAACCATGCAGCCATGTTAAGACAAGGGGGGTAAAGTATCTTGCCCAAGGACACGGGAGTTAGATTTTGACCGGCCAACCTTCTTTCTTATTAGACGATCGTTTCTCACAATTAATTGAGATCGACCAATATTGGATTCCACGGCAATCAATCACTGAAATGGGCTAGGCTTCAAATCCTCAACTGTTTAACATTTTTCATTAACCTGCACCACTCTCCCAGCTCACCAGCTCCCCTCTTCCCTTCATCGGACTGTCAATACTGCCACTGCTTCACGCTCTGTCCACGGATGCCTTTGTCTCAATTTCCCTGTCTCTCTCTCTCTGAAGCCCGGGGCGCAGCTCACAGTGCGGCCCCAGATGCCTCATGGGAAGAAGGCTGAGGGATAACCGAGCCTGTTGACAGAAAATCAGCCTCGGCCACGCCATTCCCTCGCGCTCTCTTAATCCGCTTCCCCGCTAAAAAATAGTCCCTAATACCCCCAGCAGCCCCGAGGCCATATTGTGGGCTGTGCTCCGAAAAATGAGAGCACACAAATACGTGTACGCACAGGGAAACACCCACACATATGTGACAGAGAGGAGATAAGTCCGCAACATTGTATGCACGGACATTATAGAAGCGCTTCACTACTACTATACACAAGATAAAGAGAGGACCTTCACCAAAGCAGATTAGATGGCAGTGTACAGGCAGACACACATACACACAATATGTCCTATCTGAAAAGATCCATCTGCTGCTGCTATCTAGAGTTATGGATATGTTTTGCCTAGTTGATCGTCCTTTGGAGATAAGGCCTTCTCTTGTGTGGATGTGTGTGTGTATGTAGTGTTATCAGGTGAGGTGTGCGGCAGGCAGGAAGCAGCAGTACAGTCCACTTTGCCTCGTAGACGCACTGATCATCCATTCAGCTCACACAAACAGAGAGAGAGAGTGAGAGACCTCAGCACAAAGCGCAGTACGGGCTCATGCGGTACACTGTGTACAGCTCCTAGCACTGCCTGGAGCCTGGCAGAAAGGATCCCAGTGTGGGACAGAGAGAGCAGCGGTCTACAGTGGTCAAGTCCAATCGGACACAGCACAAGCTGAGCTGTTTAATTAATAAGGGTGTAACTTCTTTTATGGCACCACAAACAGGCCTATGAAGGTTTCATTAGTTACACTGAAGAGGTCATTAATAAATTCAGAACCCAATCAACAAGAGAGCAGAGGAGTTTGATTTGTTTATCAGCTAGACATATCCAGAATCTCCCAGTACTGTGAATATGTAGAAATGACTCACTTCTGAAGGAATGAAAAACATGTGACTGACATGAATTTAAGGATGAGATATTTGACATAAAGATTCAATCTTCTGCATTTCTAGGCTGAATGTAAATCATTAATTTCAGAGTTAGAATTTAACCATTGAGTAAATGTAAAAGAGGAACTGGGCTCTTTCAAAGCTTAGAGTGAGGTATCCAAGATTTCTAATACGGTAAAGGTAATTTTAATTAACTACTTTTGTTGAATTCTGTGGACATAATGAATGCATTTATACATCCCCATCATTGGCAGATGTATTTAAAACTTAATCATATTCATGCTCTTACTGTGATAACCAGGTGTATGTTATATATGTAATATATGTAAATAAAAATATAAATAAAGTAATGTATAGGTTTTGCTTGAGAGATGTATCATTTCAGTGGGTTTAAGTGCAAAGTTTTCTCATGTTTCTGATGCCTTCAGTGATGCAGAAACATGGATGAGAAACAGGTATGAGAATGCATTCTTACTAGTCTGTTTAAAGAAACCTTATTTAAAATATTTAATACCAAATGAACCACTCTGAACTAAAATGCAGCAAAGATCTTTCAGAAGATCAGGAACTGTAGTAGGCATGGGTCTTGTTCATAGACTGTATATATATAAATAGATACAGCTAATCCGCTAGCTGCCATTTTCCAAACAGGAACTGAGCAGGAGAGTGATTCCGGCTCCATTGACTTAACTCACTCTATGTGATCCGGGTGTTTTTATTTTGCTATCTTGTTCTTTAATTAATTCCTGTTCCTAATATGAAACTGTGCCCCAAATTCGCTCCTATAACTGCTAGCAAAGTGAGCTGCATTTGACTGGAGATGAACGCCATGGGTAACGTCACACTCCCTTAGTCCACTTCTATGATCTTGATATGGAAATACTCTCGACTAACAACATGAGGCAGTGAGTGGCTGTAATGTTTTGCCTGGGCAGTGTATATGAGAGGCACCAGTGGTCTTGAGGGTCCAGTGTCTCTATGTATCAAACATCACATGACCCGGTCCACATGTTGAGCACGCAGAGTTCAAGGACACCCTCTGCCTGACATCACCCTTCTCCCCTCTGTCACCCGGCTCACGTGTCTTGGGTGACCCCTCTAACTCACCAGTGGGAGTGCTCCTCAAGGGTCTTGACCGGCTCCTGGACGTTGCGGATGTCCCAGAACTTGACCTTGCAGTCGTCCCCGCAGCTGGCCAGGTAGTACTGCCGATTCGGATTGAAGTCCAGGTCACGAACCAGCTGTCCATGGGCGTTCTCGATACAGTAGATCTGACTGAGAAGAGACAGAGGAGACAGAGGAGGGGTTAGGGGCAATGAAGGGAAGACGGATGAGTGCGGAGGGGAAAATTGGGATGGAGGGATAAGACGGAGAGCTAGCAGCCGGGTGGGGAGGCGATAAGAGGCGCGGAGAGGAGGAATATGACAGAACAACAAAAGGAGATATGAGCGAGGTACAGCGTGATTCAGTGGGTCCGCATAGGCGAGAACATTCCCAGGCTAAATCAAAGTGCGCTCTCCTGTCTGTGTCTGTCAGCGAAGGCCAGCCTCAATAAAGAAGCCGACACAGGCGCTGGTAAATTATAAAGACAACCCTCATAACCACACGCAGCCTTGAGCCTCCATGAGAGGGAGGTTAACAGAATGACATGAGAAAAAGGAAGACACTCGCCGCATTGTCTAAACCCGTCATACCTTCACTTAATAATCTTTTCAAATCCATTTCTGTCTTTATATATACATAGTAACACATGCATGGTATAGTACAGTTTCAAGTGTCCAATTAACCTTTGCGTTTGAATAAAATGGCCAGTTTATCTTTACTGTAGGTTATTAAAAAACTTGACTTGTACAAAAACAAAAGACCAAAAAAGGCTACCAAGCAAGTTTCTGGATAAAATGGGCAATTTTCCTTTCAATTGGGGAATTCAACAAAATCTTGGATAAAAATTGGGGACAGTGGCACAGATGAAAAATAGTACAATTGGGACTGGGCTGTTTTGACCAATGGTAAACGTAAGAGACATAGCGTGTTTTCTAATAGAGAGTTAAAGTTAAAAATAAAATAGTAGTAGGAGCAGCACATCAATCAGGGTCACAGAATGGAAAGTGATTTGGATAAACTAATTAAATCTACAGCGTTGCTGTGGCTATAAACGCAACATAAAACCGCAGTGGGTTCATCTTGTTTTTGCTCATTTCCTCTGCAGGCTAGCCCGGCTTAGCCCCGTTTGGCTTGGCTCGGTTCAGTAGAGGGGAACGCCTCAGTGCTGTGGCCCAGCTGGATGCCAACAGCAGCTAAAGCAGCGCTATAGCTATAGTCACCCCCGCTGATCACGTTAGGCAATTAACATGCTAATTAAAAATCTCATTAAAATAAAGGGGAAGTATAAGAGAATGACCTGGGGCAGACCGCTGGGCTTCAATTAGGTCAAGAAAATTTCAGGGACTCCGTGACTTTGTGTCTCAGTGTGTGCTGGCGTGCGGGAGGGTAGGAGCTCTGGTGTTAGGCTGTAGTTTTATAGTGGTCATTGGAACCAGACAAAAACACATAAAAGTGTTGTCACTACACTACAATTTCAAACTCAATTTTGATACTGGGGAATAGGCTTGATACTGTATACCAACATGATCATAAAAAATGCTTGTTTTTAGACAACAGACTGTCATTTTCAACACACAATATTAGTGTTTTCTTTATGTTACCATGTGGTCTAACACTAGTACTGATAAAACTCAAGATTTTTTTTGTGACAATACTAAATGAGTAAGTAGTTTTCGATACTAGTTTTAGTATTAATTAGTATTATTCCGATTTCAGAGAGGTCTTGTTCTTTCACAACAAAGAAACTATACCATTATTTTGGGTAAAAGATAGCAGTTTGAATGTTTCACATTGTGTAATTCCTAATAGGAAGTATACGATAATATATACACATACACAATACATATATAGTGAATAAATACAGTAGCATATTCATTCAGGTTTCTGCCTTATTCTCTAGCACATTCCTCATACACAAATGACCTTCACAGAAACAAAACAAACAACACACACTGCAGTCGACCTTTCGCAGGGATACTTGTCATTTACCAACTACCATAATAATAACAGAATAATTGTCACAAACTAAAACATATAGTAAACAAATAATAAATGCAAAATTCGATACCAAAAGTTGAATTTGTTGAATTTGGTCAGTTTAACATTGAAAATGTACTTTTAGGGAAGGAGAAATTTAGATAGCCACTCTCATTTCATGTTCTATAAAAGTATGTAAGTCTGTAATACATGCCTTGAATTGACAGGCGGAATGAGTGGAGTAGCCAATAATAATAATTAAAAAAAAAAACAAAACGGATTGAGCAAAATGCTGTAGCGTTGTCAAAAGTAGTGAAAATCAGATACCAAATCGATACTTAACATAGTATTGAAACTAGATACTCATTAGAGCAAGAATACTAAAAAAGTCACATCTTTCCTGAATAACTGGGACACCCATGGACCACTATGGAACCTACCTGGATGACTGAGGGATTACACATGGTAATGTAAACAAAAGTAATATGTGTAATGTTGAAAATCACATTCTTTTGTCTGTGTGTTTTTTATTCTCTATGTCATGTTCCTTATTAATGCTATCGAGTTTGAAATTTTAGAATTGTGAAAACGCTGTCCAGAGAATTAAAAAGAGACATGATGCTTTAATTAGTCTCCAGTTTCCTGTCATCATCTTTAGTTGGGACATCAAGAGAACAATACTTAGGAGAAGTCTATCGTTTATTTACAGCGCTGCTTGTACTCTGCGTGTGACTCTCAGGTAAAAGGCGTGACCTGGGGATGTAGGGTGCTTGGTGTCGCGCCCATCCCGCCGTGGAATAGGACGCGGCCGGCCCGTGAAGAGGAAATGGAGCAGGAAATTGGGTTAGTCTCACTGCCCCCCCTGCCCCCCCTTCCTACCTCCCTTCTCTCGCTAACGTCTCTGAGTGATTCCAGCACACACGGGCAGCAGGCGTACACTCCCTTTTGCCCCGCTAATAGTGGAGGGACTTGGGACGTTTTATATGTGTTTGTATAAGGGCCGGGGATTATGGGTAGTGGCCGCAGAAAGCCCACAGTCCACAGTGGTCCATGGAGGAGGCTGAGTGATGAGGGGACAGGGGACTCATTACACAGGCTGTTAGCTTCCAGGAGATGGACACATAAAAATATACACTAGCAAACACTCAGAAATAGAAGTAGGATCAGGATGAGAAGTAGAGGTACAGTTATTTACATTACATCAATGCAATGAACAAAAACAACTCTCAGCATTTCAACTTCAAGTGAGGACCTATGCCATAGAAAGTATCAATTTCAATCAGTATGTAATACTTTTTCAATGACCAAAATGTCCTCCATATACAGGAAGAGGTTATGTCATTCAAAGCCATACCTGCTGGATACAAATTCCAAACCACTTTCATTTAAACAAAATAAAAATAAAATATAATATGCATCAGCTAAGGACTTTTAACCTGAGAAGCATGGCTTTGTTCGCTTTTTCTTCTTCTTTGATTCATGATACTCCGATGTTTTTGATCTTTTCCAAACAAACCTAAAAGCAGGTTTGTTACTATGAATAATGTACTCACGTGACATTAATTATCACTTCACATAAAATTACTCCTATAGAAACACATTCAATATATTTAAGCACAAATACCAGTAAAATCTCCATTCTAAAATGTGAAGAATTAGACATAAGTCTGAGTAGTTGTTGGAGTAAGCGTGATTCATTATTCCACCTCTGAAAACATTTTGTGTGGAAGATCTAGGTGATGCTACAAAGGTTGGATGCATTTAGCAATCACAGACACACTTCTGGCTTGGTGATAAATCTCTCTCACGCGCACACACACACAGACACACACACAGACACACCACACACACACACAGTTTCTATGACAACAGCCGTGTGGAGGGAGGGGGGCCAGGGAGGAAGAGCAAAATCAAAAAAAGAAGAGCAATCATTTCATCGCTGATCAAAATTAAAGCCTGGCTCTCCGAGGGGGTTGGCAGAGAAAGAGCAGGTAGGCAGTAGCATGAGCTTCACTGATGAGGGCTGGACTGTGGACCGCATACAGAGAGCATAATTAGGATAGACCAGCAATAGATCTTCATCTGGAACTAGACCATGTCATTTAAGAGCAAAGCACACACTTCTGTTTGGGGTTTCTTCAATCAGAGAAGACTTAAACAGAAAAGTGTAAAACATCCTGTATATTGTTGACAAGTGCTGTGCCCATCCACAATTTGGATGCCAAAGAACAAAGAATTAATGTTCATATTGTGCTATTCCCAAATTGGGACAAACAAAGAGTTTAGCAGGAAGAATACCATGAATGAGCCATAAGTCACATAATAAACCTAAATATACAAATCACATTAAGATAGACATGTCAAATACAGTGATTAGGGATGGTCCGACATGGATTCAACTGTACTCGCTGTAGCCCCCCCCAGACCAGACAATGTCACTTTTGAACAATGAATGAGTTTGAACAAATAGTTTGGACAAAACGCTCACATTGCAGCTGGCCACATCACTCTCAGGACATTTGAGTGTTATTTTAGCTTTAAGTCTTACGGCCTCCAGAAGGTCGTGGATACATCATTATGAGCATTAGCGCGGGACGCTGGCTCCGTGTGCTGTGTGTCTCTGAAGGAGGCGCGGTGGGTTTAGAGAAAAGGTTACCGATGATCGATTTGACAGTGCTGAGGTTCAGAAGGTCACCCTCAAATCAACAGTGGCATATGGAATACCACCATTTCAAAATCAGCAGACGCCTTTTGCATAATGGCTCCTATTTGAATGTGAAATATGATACTTCTAATAGGCAACACTTTTTGCATAATGGAGGTATATTTGAATGTGTGAATAATATATGATGGAAAGGGCTCCTGAATAATGGTTTACCTTGGCTACCCTATCATTATAGCACAGTGCGGCTGCCACATCACTGGAATGTATAGGAATAACAAGCAGTCTTTGGTCAGGTGCAGGGACACTCGTCTGTGTGGACCTGGGTCTAGTCTAGGACTGAAACAAGTTCATTGATTAATCACAACCAACCAATTACTGTGGAAATTATCAACTAATTCAGTAATCAAATAATCGTTACAGGGATATACACAAACCAGACATACTATGTTCTAAGAGGTTTTATCACTCACATATATCATAATGACAAAGAGAACAGTTAGTGCTTTTGGTGATTAACCAGTTTTGTCTG